CTTATTTCCATTTTATAATCATTTTAAAAACCTTTTTCTTTTATTGTAAATATAATTATATTTTTTTTAATATATATTCTGGCAGATCTTGGATTAAAATTTTGATCATGAACTTTATTAACATCATTGGATCCATGGTGTTGAGTCTAACTCCATAAAAATGGATGAATGATTTTAATAATAGTTTGATTTAATTTTGGTTCAAATGTGGTTTATTCATTTCCCCTTCCCTCTGCATCTTATCACATTCTTATTGTACCAAATGTTATTGGAGCATGATTTACATATCATGTCTCAAAACATGAGGTGCATAGATTGCTATTAACCGGCCTCAAAATAGGTGCGACTTCTATATAAGTTCACTTACGATTGTTTAACATAGCGCCAAATTTTGTCCTGACTTGAGAAAATGATCATTCGTGGCCCAAACTTATGTTTGCAAGCCTAAGTATGTTAATTTGAACCATTTGATCCAATAACCTTGAGATTCATTGTTAGGAGGCTTTGGTTCTACCAATCCTTTAATGGAACTTCATCAATTTTGGTCAAAGTGGATCACTTAAACACATTGATCATTAAGTGTTATATTGAGAATTCTTAAATGGATGATATACTTGACAAAAAGAAAATGCAACTTGTTGTTTAGAGGCTTTGGTTCTACCAATCCTCTAATGAGTTCTAAATGTAAGTTTCAAGATGGTCATCCAACTAACTACTAATTCCTAACAATTGACTTTATTTTTATGATTTATTTTTATACTTTTACTTTATGTACCATTTACTTTAGCATTTATATTCCATGCTATTTTTATCTTTGCTCACTTGAGCCTTTATCTTCATGTCATTTTTATTTTGCTCACTTGAGCTTTTCATTTCTTTTTGAAGATACCTAATAATCAACTTGAACCCTAAAAGCTTTAATGTTACTTGGACTACTTGGTTACTATCCTTAGCATTATAGAGTGGTGGACTTCTTGGACTTAGGATTAGAGACCTTGACCTACCTTGAGACATTGTGACCTCAACTGTTATTTTGTCTGGAGTTCTTGGGGTTTACCCACAAACATTGGGTTGTTTGTTTGTTTTTTGTGCAGGTTATTGTGATTACATGCTTTATCTGTGATATGGAATTCATCTGTATACAGCCGTTACTCCGCCCAATTTTTATGAAGACTTAATACAAATGGAGCTTGGTTTCCTTAAGAGGTCCTTTTTGTAATTGTTTGTTTGGTTTCAAATCCAAAGGATGGGAATTCTACATTGACTCATTGTGTCAAATGTTGGCTTCTTGTTGGTTAGATGGTTCTTTTTCCCTAGCTTTTACCTTATGCTTTAGGATAGTCTTTTCATCTCCTCCCATCTTCTTTAATTTCAAAAATCTTCTTCCTCCTTTTGAAAACTCTTACTGTTTTAAAAACTTGAACCACTTTCATAATAAACTTGGACTTATGTCCAGGCATTTTCAAAAATTATTTCTTAATCAAATTTCAATCAACTTAACAATACCTTGACATTTTTGTGAGAAGACTAAAAGTCAAAAAATCTCATTCAAACTATTTTGCCATTTTGGCTTTTTATCTTTAAAAACTTTTCTCAAAAGATTGGACTCTTGTTAATCCTTGTAGTGATGCAAACAACTATACTTCTACAATATATAGTGAAGTGAGATATTTTCCACTTGGATGTTGAGTGAGGCATTGTTGATTTTGAAATCTAAGCCATATCCTCCACTTTGAGATGACGCAAATCCTCCTTTCTCATGATTTTGGGTAGTAAGTATGTTTTCCACACGGGCAATGACAATGATGTCTTGTCTCTTAAAATTAACCAACACACTTGTGTTTTAAATTTTTTTAAAATAGGAACTACGTGTACCCTGATCCCCTATTGCACTAAAGGTGGTACGTAGGCATTAAAGGTTCGCAACCGTGGCGGGTGCAAAAATCATAAAAAAAATACACTTCTTTCATCACCACCACAATCTATTTTCATACAACATTTTATAGCCAAAATATACAGATTTTATAAAGAGGTTCCTACGGAGTACCGTAGATGTTTAGGGTGCTAATATCTTCCCTTTGTATAACCAACTCCCTTACCTGAAATCTTTCCCCCCTCTTTTGGGTTATTCACCCTTTTCCCATTCCTTTGAAAATAATAAAGTGCAGTGACGATTTTTATCTTGATCTGTGCGAGTCAAGTCAAAACTAATGGCTTAGCTTCAACATTTCTACTGCTACACATGGTGGCATTGTATCTTGGCCCAGTCCTTTACCAGAAGCACATATGGTGTAGTTGCATCATACTACCCTCCCACAGTACTGACAAGGGTTTGATTCCCTGGATGCGCAACTCCACTTGAGTAGCGGCATAATTTGTTGCTAGCTTGCCTTCTATTTTTGTATTGACCTAATTTATTTTACTAATATAAAATATAATACCTTATTTCTTCTTGATATTTCGTTTCTCCTTCTCTACTATATTTATCCAATTAATATAAGGTTCATAATGAGTAGAAGGAAAGGAATGGAAAAAAGACGGTAGGGTTATTCCATAAATCCTAATTCAAAACTTTTATCTTGAAACGCGTGAGGTTTGTTGTAAAGTAAAACAGGGAAAACCCTTTAATTTATCAGGCTTCACAAATGATTTAGACAGAGGACCCAAAAATGCATGTGTAGTACCTGCAAAAGAAAAAAGAATTAGTACCTGAAAAATCCTAAATGATAGTTTTTTTCTTTCTCCATGGCTGATTCTAGAACGTAAGAGAGATTACTGGAGAAGACAAGTCTCTGAACATCAATAGCTGTAGGGATTTGGGTTTGTTTTCCAATTCTAGAAGTAAAAAGTAATTTTTCTTAGTACTTGAGTAGAAGAAAAGTGAAAATGGATATGCAGAAAGAGAAAGTTCTAAGGGTTCAAGAAAAGCAAAGGAGAAATGAAAGGAATAATAGAATAAAGAGTTATATAATCGTTGAAAAAAAGACTCTTTAAATTTTATTGAAACAATGGTGTTTTAATTTTTATTTTAAAACATTACTAAATAATGATTTCCTTTTATTTTAACACATTTAATTTATGTGTCTTATGATGGCCTCGGAAATCAGAGTCATGATGGCGAATGCATACACGTTACCGACAGACGAATAGTCCATAATAGTCATGATGATGATGACATATCCACAACAGTTTGAATAGTATTGTGAATTTACTAAAAAACATCATCTTTCTACCATATTGAAAATATGATCGAAAATGACATTTTTGTGGGACATCTGTTAACTTGTGATTTTCGACTCAACATGTTCGACGGGAATGTGGATGTGAGATAAATATACGAGCTAAGTACATGTAGCTAAGTCATGTTTTCGACCCCAAAATCACAAGATTTGACATGTGTGCTTTTCGACAGAGGTAATTGGATGACTTGAAGTTGTTTTCCACAACAATAACAGTTTTGCAACAGTTCAAGAACTGAAGACACATGAAAGCAAAAAAAAAAAGGACAAACCCACGTAATAGTGTACATGTAGGATTGTGAATAAGTAACTGGTGTTAGTTGTTAACAATGTATCAAATATATAAACAAATTTCATTCTGGAAGATTGATTTACATTTTTATTCTGTTCTTTATACAATTCATACATCTAAGTCATAGAGATAAATAATTTGTGAGAAATATATGAATTAGTGTCTCACTTTTAATTCAAGTATTTTTTTTTACCTAATTTGCATTGTTATCATTCATTTCTTTGTTTGCTTTATTCATTTGAGCATTTCTTCACGCATTTCTTTATATCTTTATAGCAAAAAACCTTTTAGCATTAATAGACTTTCTCAAACATTTCACACAAAGTGTCCTTTAGAATTTTTCAAGTTTGATCTTACAAGTAAACTAAAACTCGTGATTTGTTTATCAAAAACACCAATAAACAAATAGTTTATAAACTATGGACTATTATGTCCTTATTAACCACTTCGCTTCTACAAATCTCATGCTTTAGAGATTATGGACTCTTATGTTTTCCTTAACCACTCCGCACTTATAGCTTGAGTTATTATGGACTATTATATTATGATCCAAACCCATCTGATATAAGATATCGATCATCTGCCTTTTATCTCTGTAAAATGTACATTGAGGACCAACAAGAGATTAAGCAAGGTCGTAAACATATATACATTGGCAAACTCGCCACATTCTCTATATGTTCTATAGAAGATGACTCATCAAAGCATGTTCCTTAAAACTAGCAAAAATATCTTTGTCACAACTGAATAGCCTCAAATCTCATTGAGTTGGCTGAAGTTAGTTATAAATGTCTAACTCAAAAGTTAAGTCAAAGTATGATTTATTTACATACTAAAAACCCAAAAACCTATTGCTTAGTTTATCAAAGACATACCCACCTATATTGTACTCTTCGTAAATACGAACTATTAGTTATATTTTAGGCCAAACATATTCTTCCATCCTTTATATTTTATCTTAATAATGTTTTGATTCTTTTGGGTTTTAAATTGCTCTTTTAAACCATGAAACTGATCCTTTATATTTGCCTAAATAACATTCTTGCTTATGCTTTTAGCCAATGGTACACACGTTTGGTGACTAAAAAGAAAAGATCGATACTCAAAAAAGCAGAGCACATATATTTTTTTTGATAAAAAGTTATTGTTCAAGAAACACTGAAGCTCAAATTTAATTTCCAAAAATTATGGCTTCATCAATAAAATTGTTGTTCAAATAACTCTTTAAACTATGTTACAATGCAATAATTTGTAAAGACATATTTCTATGATTATGTTTTTAATATCAACTTTTTTAGTTTGTTCTTAATCAAAATACAACATAAGTCCATTTAGAGGCACAAAAAGGTTCTGCATAGGTTAAGATACACATTCAGTGAGATTAACAGAGGAATTATAAATCCTCAAATTAGACAACACTACGAACCTAAAGATATCCTAATGAGCCAACAACAGGTTCTGATTCGGAACTAAAAGCAAGCATCTAGCATACAGCAGCAGCAGAGTGCAGCCAAACACCCTTCAAGAAAACCAACTTCTTGTCTTTGAGGAGGTTGTTGTTGAGCATACTGTTGTGGTGGAGGATAGCCATAGCCTTGTTGAGGAGGGTACCCTTGTGGAGGATAACCTGGTGGTGGATAAGCGTCTTTCTGAGGATACCCTACAATTAAAAACACAAGATTCAAATCTATGATACTGAACCCGAAAACATAACACCAAAACAGTGTTGGTTTCGGGTTTCAGACACTGAGACAAACACACATTTTTGATAGGTGTCGATGTTACATAGATTCACATTCTTCTGTATAAACAATTTTAAGAACTCAAGAATAGAAAGAAAAAAAAGCTTGAAAAGAAAGGAAGAGGTGAGTAGTACCTTGTGGGGGAGGAACACCGACTGGAGGCTGTTGCTGATGATCGTAGTAGCTCATGTTAATGCTGAAACCGTTTTTGTTCGAATTGAAAGCGAGTTTGTGATGTAGAGAGAGAGAGAGAGAGAGAGTTTTATAGAAGGAGAACATGTGAAGGGAAGTTTCTAGGTATCTTCGATATTGAACACCTGAACTCGATAAAGGAAACGAAGACGCGTTCAAAGTTTGCAACAATTTTTATAAATGTTTTGTCGTGCTGTTTCTCCACTACTCACATCACTTTTTCCTTTTCAAATTCAAAAGACCACTTTACCACTTCGACGAACTTTTCTTTTACTTTTTTCTTAATCTCACAAATTGTACTTATTTTAAGTGCTATTACTATTTTTTCCTCCATTCAATTTTTATTTACCTACATTTTCTTATGGTAAGCTCTATACTATTGTAGTCAAACTTCTATAACGTTGCTCTATTCGGTGAGGGGGAGATTTGTTAGAAGGTATAATTTTTGTTCCATTGAATAACGTTGAGCGCACGACGAATTAGTAGTGTCAAAAACATGTCGAATTAGTTGATTGAATAAGTTGTCAGCTGCATTCGACAGAGTCGAATACAACAATTATTGTAGTTTGTCGAAATATAGTTTTGAGCCAAAATTTGTATATAGTCGTCGAATTGGGCCCGGGCTTTTCAAACCTATATAAAGGGTTGCTTAGTTTGTAACAATCAATGCAATCACAATTCAGTTTTACAATTCAGTTAGAATCATTAACAAACTTCCAAATTTCTCTCTTCTCTCTTCTTCTTCTTCTTCTTCCTTTATCAATCATCTTTCTTGAAAACCATTTATTCCAACAAATTGCTATAACAAAGCTCGGTTGCAATTCAGAGAGAATCCAATGACAAACGCAACAACAACGTCAATACAATTTCCAGCGAATCTATCGATTTTCAAAGGTGAAAACTATCAACGGTGGATTGCACAGATGAATGTTATCTTCAGATTTTAAGATGTTGTTGAAATCTTGAATGATGGAGTATCAGAACTGAAAGCAAATGGACGAATGCTCAGAAAGATGTGCACAAAGATCAAAGGAAGAAAGATGGTAAAGAATTGTTCTTGATTCACCAGTGTGTAGATTCTGATGTATTTAAGAAGATAATTGAAGAAGAAATGACAAAAGGAGCGTGAGACAAGTTAAAGAACTTGTATGATAGAGATGAGAAATTGAAGAAGGTGAAGTTGCAGATATTGAAGAAACAATACAAGATGATTCAGATGAAAGAAGATGAACCAATCTCTGCATATTTCTCAATAATTGTGACGCTAACAAACCAGATGAATGCATATGGTGAATCAGTTACAAATCTGTAGAAGATAGAGAAAGTGTTGAGATCTATGACTGCAGATTTTGACTACATAGTAGTGACAATTGAAGAGGCCAAGACTCTATCTGAGATGAAGTTAGAAAAACTCCAAGCTTCATTAGAGGCTCATGAGATGAGGTTGAAGCAGAGAAACTCAGAAAGAGAGAAGGTGGCTGAACAGGCATTGCAATCAAGATTCAGCAATAAAGTTGGAAAAGAGAAGTCGAAGTAGAAAAAGAATCTTGTTGGTGATGAGAAGTAAAGCAAGAATACTGGTTCGATTAATAAAGATGTGGGAAACAAGTATTCTGATAAGAAAGTTGACACGAAAGAGGCGCAATGTTACAATTGTAGAGGTTTTGGTCACTATGCTCGAGACTGTCAAAGAAAGAAAGCGGCAAGGGTGAAAGATAGTGATAAAGTTTAATATGTACGAGATGGAGATAATGATTCTAACGATGTGCTGTTAATGGTCAACACTCAGTCGAACACTGAGAAATATAACATGTGGTATCTGGACCCAGGATGCAGCAACCACATGACTGGAAATAAAAACTGGTTTACCAAGTTAGATGATTCAGTCGAAAAGGTGATAAAGTTTGCAGATGGTAGGTGTTTACAGTGATTTCTGGTAAACAACCGCTAGTCCTCCAAACTATCAAATAATCTTAATGACTGTTATTTAATCTCTCTGGTAACTTGCAGGATCGACTAGATTGATCCTATGGTGTATTGGTCGTTTGGATAATTCTAATTGTAAAACTGATATTCATAGTTAGGATTAGTATTTAGAATGTTTGTAGACGTTCAACTTACTTCGATTACCATCTTAAAAGGATCTAATGACATGATCAAGTAAAGACGTGTGAAATCAAATTGCATGAATAAAGATTCGATTATAAAGCAATATAAAAATGCAAGACACAAGTAAATAACTTTGAAGTGCAAAATCATGAAATGTAAAAGAGTTTCTGAAATGTAAACTATTCGAACTATAAGGAAAACGTTTAAATGCAAGAAATCAGTAAATGACTTTGAATGGAAAGATATTCGAATGATGAAAGCATGAAGATAAAAGCGTGAAATGCAAAAGAGTTTCTGTAATGTAAAGTACTCAAAATAGAAGGAAAGACTTTCAAATGCAAGAAATCAGTAAATGACTTTAAATGAAAAGACTTTAATGTAAAGGCTTTTGAATGATATTGACATGAAGATAGAAGATAAACTGGAAATGATAAAGAGTTTTACTGAATCATAAATATTTGGTGTTATCATACGTACATTGTTCGAGCATTCGTTTCCCTAGCCATGTGGTATTTTGAATGTTTACTGAATTTTGTACAATAGATATGACACACGAAATCCTAACGCTAAGACTTCTATTTATACTACTTCGACCATAACGGTCTTGCCTATAAGATTCTGCCACGTTCAGAACATGCAGAGCACTCCTCCTCTCTAGCTTCCACGCGTCTTCGAACGCTCCAGCGCATATATTTTTAAATTTCGAACATCCCGCTTGCGTTTGAATTTCAAATGTTTGGCACTCTTCGCTTCGAACTCCTTTCTTAAACACAGTCTCATTACCACTTCGAGGCTTCTTTTAACTATATCTTCACAACTGTCACTCGAAGCTCCGAGCTTTGACATGTTCATTCGAAGCACTGCTTCTACCATTCTGAACCATGACATCTTGCTTTATTCCAACGAAACATCCAACTTGCTTCGTTTCGAACTGTATCATCAAAATCTTCAGCCAACAAAATGCCCCTTTAAAATATGTATTTCGATCCTTTGAGAAACACTTATTTTAAATATATATGCAAGATTTTGATGTGACCTTTGAGTAATCATAACATTTATTGTGTATGACTCCAGTCACGTCAATCACGACGCCTTTTAGATTCCTTAACCGTCTTGAATCAGTATTTCACAGCATGGTGCAGTTATAAAACAATGATTATTATTAATCACACCTATTACCAATATCAACTTTTACGCCACCTCCTTCTCAATCCAACCCACGACTCCCACGTATCCTAGTCTTACTTAGTGGATGTTTAAACTTCCACACTATAAAAACCCATCAACTTAGTCTTTTATTCTTTTCCACATTCTGAATCTTTTCTTCCTCTCTTCTCACCGAAACCCTAAAACTTCTAACAATCTTCAACAATGTCTTCTACAACATCATCCCAACTGAAGAAAACTTCCAAAAAGAAAGGAAAGAACACAGGAACAATAATGGAAAGCAAGGTTGGCACTTATCAAGGTCAATTTGTGCTTATCCCCTAAATGATCTCCAAAGAGAAGGAAATGCTCTACGCATCTCAGGTACTAATTCCCACTAACGCTGCTGGAAAGAGGTTTGCTCTAATGGGTCCTCTTACAGTCTTTGAAATCTTAAAAGATACTAGAAAAATCTTCCCTATTTGTTATAACTTTAAGCCTTTGTTTAATAAAATGGATATCCCTAAGACAGGCGAGTCTTCTGATTCGACAACCGTGGAAACTCCAATCGTTCCCCCAAAAGACCCCTTTGTTCTAGACTATGTGAAGAGCAACTTTAAACCGTTCCGATCCTGCCCTACCTCTGACACAGCTTACCAAAACTGGTTTACCAAAGTAGAAGCCAAGATATCCCAGCAATGGGAGGAATTAGGAATTTACAATTTAATTAAGTTATCGAAACCAGGCTTTACCAATAGTCATCCATTATTATTTGCGTCCTTATATTTCTGGGACAGCACCTACAACACCTTTCATCTCCCTGGGGGAATGATTACACCCACATTTTTCGATATAGCAGCCATTACTGGTTTGTCACCAGTAGGAGAAACCTACATCCCTGACAATGAAGAGCACTCCAGTATTATTGACTTCGAAGTCAAATTAGCCAGCTTTTCAAAGTTCATTAGCCACTACCACACTGAAGGAGATAGTGTGTCAGATGTGGAACACATTGCTTTCCTCACCTTATGGTTATCAAGGTATGTATTCTGCGGCAGGTCCTTACAGGTAGCCAACAGGTTCATCCCTCTAGCTAGAGACTTACATGAGAATAGGAGGGTGTGTTTAAGCGAACTGTTACTTGTTGATCTTTACGAAAGCTTAAGATCAGCCGTTTCGAGTTTGAAATCCCACACTCCCAAAAACATCCTTCTAGCTGGCCCCTTCTGGTTACTCCAGTTATGGCTTAATGCCATGTTTGAACCCTCACTATCAACTACTAACACAATTGTTGAACAAGATCCGGAGATAGCGGATAGAATCATTGAAGGTACGAGGCTTCGAAAACTTACCCCAAACGATGATAAAGATGACTTCAAAGTTCTCTTCTCAAACTATATCATGATTTTCTCCAAGAGACACAAATTTGAAGAGACCATGGCGCCCTTTGCTTCAAGGACTCATGGACCATCATGGTTCACCATGGCTCTCTCAGAAGCAGTTAAAAGCAAAGAAATTCAAGATATTTTGAAAGCCTTTTTGCTTTCCAGATTAATCTCCTCACGAATCACTCCTTCCAAGAATCAAATCTTCCTTTTTGCCTATCAACCCAACTTCGTTTCTAGATAATTTGGCCTGTGCCAACTAATCCCTGAACCTCTGTTCCAAACAGAAAGTGCCATCACTTCTGGTCGAACCTTCAAAGCAAGAGAAGCCAAACTACAACAAGAACAATATCAAGG